GCATATTAGTGTAATCGAGTTAATCAAGGTTTCATAAATTCATACTTGAAATTAATAAAAGGTACAAAATGACATATAACTCGATTTATATTTTTCCATTTTAATCATCCTATTCGATTCTATTGCTAATATCTTCCTTAATGGCCTTTCCTTTTTTACAATAAAGCCTAGGTATCAAAAATTATCATCATGAGCACCTCTCCACAATAGAATCCAACGAAGACACCTTTCTTGATTCCTCAAGTTGCCAACATTAATGTGATATCCCAATAAAAGCTGTCAAGAGGGCATTGGCTCTTGAATACAACACGGACCCAAGTGGTTAGACCCTCTAGGATATATTAATTTTTGTTTAGGATATATTAATTTCAATGTTTCCAGCAACAATAAATCTAACTCGCCATATCTCATTCACATATATTCTTTCACTTGTTGAGTAAATTTTTAACAACTAGCTTTCACGATAAACGAAACTTTTACAAGATGTTTGCTCGTATTAATACTTGATGACTACAAGAATTAAATAGGGTTTTGGTCCAATGGATCGAGTCTCTATTTTTTAAGATGCAATAGTATTTTACAACGAGTAACAAAAGGAAGTGACGAGCCATAAGGAGTAAGAATCACATCAAAATCATACAAATCGGATAATATTACAAGAAATCACAAGCATATCTAACCGTTTTATTACGAGCTTTGTTTACTTAACGGTGGCATTAGCTTTGTTGCGGCGGCTTGGGTGGCGAAGATGTCCTTGGGTCGGCTTTAGGCAACAATGAAATGGATGAGTTTGGGTGAGAACAAGGATGGACAACAATTAAGCTCTAGAGAAAATGTTTTCTCGTTTTTTATTTGGGAAGTCATTTTCCCAAAACTTGGGTTTTAATTTTCCTTGACTATAAAATAGATTTCTTTGACTTTTTTCAAGATGCCTAAACAAACATGGAAAGATAGGAAAAACAAGTTCCGGGAACTTGTTTTTCCCAAAACAAACGCACCTTTAGTGGTTTAATATTTAATTATAGTAGCAGACAATTAAAAATAAAATTATAACACTAAATATTAGTGTGTAAAATAAAAATAATATAAAATCAAGTCAATTATATACAAATATGCACTCTAGTGTACAAAAATAATTAAAAAAATATAAAAAAGGAAGATAAAGACCTCGTTAAGGAAGAGCACAAATCTGTCGCTCCTAAGTCGTTCGACTCCTTCTCCGTATTGACTACATAGTGTTATTGTTGGCCAAACAAACCTTTTTCTAAAAAAAATTAGCAGACTTTTAAGTCATCAATTTATTTCCTAAACTAGTTGATATGAGCTTCGAGTTCTAATATGTCAATTGTTTTTGCAATGATACCAATTGGCTCCAAAACAATTTGCTTTATAGTTCATGCAACAAAGTAATAAAAAATCCAATAAAGTAATAAAAAATTGCAACAAAGAGCTGTTAAAATCTATATATATACACAACATGTTGATTCTATATGTCTTAACATATGGTAATATTATTGGCCTACAAGTTCGTAAAAAAAAAAAAAAACAAATGGAGGAAGGTATAGATAAAAAAAACAATGTGTTTGTGAATAACTCGTGTGATTTTTTATAAATTGTGATACAAATAGTTGTGTTCATAAGATCTATTTGGTGTTTCATTTATTTTTTTGGCCAAGGATCATGAGAAAATAGTTATTTCAAAGGAATGACTCCCGATTAAATCACTAAAGATCTTTCTACGTAACAAACAAACAAAATGGATAACAACACCTTCTAGATGCATGATAAATGCTAAGATTAAGTGCATGATTAATTTTTTTTTAATTTTCCATTGAATAATGTTATGAAAAAATCAATAATAAAAACATAAGATTTATGTTTTTGATAAGATAAAGTGCATGATTAAAAAACAATACATTCAAGAAATATTTAAAAATTTATAAAATTCAAATATCACTAGCTTAATGAAATAAAGATTAAAAAAAAAAGGTACATCTAATATATTCTTAAGAAAAAAGTTATCTTCTAAAATACAAATAATTATATCTTACAAGCATGTGGAATGAACTTTTGAAAAGATAATCAATTATAAGTTTATGATTTAAAAATTATTCAATTCTTGTGAAATTGATGTGAGATATTTTAGAAAAATATCAACAAAAGGTTTGTTAGTCATTCATACATTCATCTCAATAATTTAAAAATATATAATTAAGAGAATTTTTTATTTAGAAAAAAAAAAACAAGCTTATAGTACATTTTACAAAATATAATTTATACACAATCTTTGTTTTGTTTTATGAATAAGTTTTGTATCTTTGTATGCTTGAAATATGCTTTCATATAATTGTTACTCCACTGTTTAAAAAAAAACCTCTATAAAATTAAATTGTTGCCAAGTAATTAAGATTAATGAAAAACACTTCCTTCCTCACATTTTCACATACTTTCCTATAATTTGCTTCCCGAGCAACCCACGGATTCTAACTAGTTCTCTCCTAAACCTAAATACATAATGTTATATAAATGATGTAAAAAAAAAAAAAAAAACAAGGGTAAAAATTGACTCCTCCTACAAACATAGGGGTAAAATAGAGATTGTATCAAACTAAAATTTCCAAGATTTCTAATTAAAACTTTTTTTTTCTGTGGAATGATAATTTTTTCACCATTTTCATAAATAATTGTCTGGATATTCAGTCTCTCCTATCAAAATTTTCAGTCTCTCCTATCAAAACTTTCTTTCAATTTCATGACTTTTCGTTCAAGTTGTACTTTTTGTGAATAAAAATTGAAGTCATTTTGTAGGTAATTTAACATTTTATATTAAGTGATTCTAACAAAAGTGCTTAATTGAAAAATTAAAATAATTTAAGAGTAAAATTGATGCAAAATATAATTTTGGTGTAAAATTAATGCTATTTTAATAGTTTATATATATAGGTGTGTGTATTTGGGGTTTGCCCTATAAATAAATTTCCATTAATTGTCTTCAGACTCTAATTATCAACAGTTCACTGTTTTCTTTGCAAAATAATAATAATAAATAAATAAATAAGAACGAATAGCTATTTTTGAAATCTAAACATAAATACAAAACGTTCTCAAGCCAAATCAATTAAGGATTTTACTACTTTTTCATCATTGTTAGATTTGATTTTGGAGGCATTATTGCGTAAAATGTTTAGTAAAATTTGGTGATATTTATTGGCCTAAAAATTAATATCTACAAGTATTGGTGAAGAACTAAAAAAAGATAAGGCATGATTACCAAAATAAATAAATAAATAAATAATCTTTTAACAAAAATCTTCTATCTAAAAAACCCATCAAGTTATTTTTAAATCTCTTAAATCCAAAATAATATCTTCTTAGTACCAAAACACCTAATAATGAACACTAGTGGTGTTAATTATTGAGTGTTTTAATAAGAAAAATATTATTTTGAGTTTGGAAGATTTAAAGAAGTTAGTTGACACTATTGTTGATTATTAGGTGTTTTGATAAGAAAAATATTATTTTGAGTTTGAGGGATTTAAAAAAGTGTTATGGTAAGATAAATATTGTTTTGTGTTTAGGGGATTTAAAAATAAATAGGTGAATTTTTTAGATAAAAATTTTTTTAAGAGAGTTTTCCGTTAATTATCTCTAAATTAAATAAAACCATTATATATCAAAATATGTATTATTTCTATTGTGGATGACCATGTCCTATTTAATTAATTTACCAAAATATGTTATAAATTCATCTTGCAATTTAATTTAATTGCTTGATATAAAATATAGAGTTTTGATTAATTAAAAACTAGTACTACTCGGTGGAATTTTTTTTGATCAATATATTAGGATTTAATATATCACTAATGTTTATAATTATACATATTCTTGTTTTTCTTATTTGTATGATAATCCTTGGATTAAATTACAAGAAGATAACATGAATCTCATTTCATCAATATTAATTATCTGAATTGCATCATTTATTATAGTTACTAGATAGTAAAAATAATTTCGTGGTTGCTTGAAACAAATGATCGATAGAAAGAAATAAAAACTCTTACATAGGAAATTTTTTAGTATAATAAGAAAGTTGTGGCTAAAGGTCAAAGAACCTAAGAAAACTTTTTTTTCTTTTCGATTGTAATAAAAAAGAACATGAACTTGATTATGATAAAAAAAAAAAAACAAGTATGAAACTCATTAAAAACTATAAAATGAGTTTATTATTAGATAATTACCAAAAAAAAATCTCTCTCTCTCTCTCTCTCTCTCTATATATATATATATATATATTACCAAAACACTCAATAATTAACTAGAGTTGAGTTGGAGGTTAATTATTTAATGTTTTGGTAAGAAAAATATTATTTTGGGTTTGAGAGATTTAAAAATAAATTGGTGAATTTTTTAGATAGAAGATTTTTTAAAAGGGTTTTTTTGATAATTATCCCAAAAGATAACTCATATTTTGATCTTTGTAGGTAAAAGTCAATTTCCTAGGAAAATTTGTTTTTGGTTTTTTTTATAAATAGAAGCAATAGATTAACTACAAATTATGCATAAAACTAGTAAAGATTGACGATGGTTCTTGATCGGTTTAATTTGGCCTACTCTTTTTCGATTATGGGAGAAATAAACCAAAAACGAAGTAAGGATGGAAGCACTCAACAAACATGTGCAATTAAATGGAACCTTTTCCCAAGAATGAAGGGAGGGAAAGCTAACATTATCTAATATTAACTACATCGGCAGAAAATTGATAAAATCAAAAGAATTAGGATTAATGTGATAACACGCTAGAGACTGAATCGGGTTTCCTTAAAAAATAACAGTGTCCAATGGGATACGGGGAGATACTTTCCTTACGAGGACAAAAGGGTCAAAAAGTCACAAAAAAGTCACCAGCTTGGCGTTGAAAAAGCCAGATTTGAGTTTGGTGCAATCTCAGAGAAACAAGAACAGAGAGAGCAGAGAGCAGAAAGCAGAGAGAGAGAGATCTCATGGCAGAAGCACAGGGAGTAGTGAAACACGTATTGCTAGCAAGATTCAAGGAAGGAATCCCATCACATGAAATTGAAAAAATCATCAAGGGTTTTGCTAATCTCGTCAATCTCATCGAACCATTGAAGTCCTTCCAATGGTAACAAAATTCTACTGCATAATCTCTCTTTCTTTTTGAATTTCTGTTTTATTGGAATATTGATGTCAGATGGAACAGAACAACAAAATCCCTTGATGTTTAGAAGTGTATACGTACATTTAGCCTAATTCACTGTTGTCTTTTTGGCATTTAGATGGGAATTTCAATGAACATTAGCCACGTTTTATCATTCATCAATCACTAGTATTAAGCTTCAATAATGATAAACCAGTATCAATCCGGATAAAAAGTTTGCTTGTCTTGAATTAAATGACCAGGTTTTTAAAACTAGTTGATGTTTGTGCTACTGTGAATAATTTGATATGAAAATCGTTGTTCAACTGCGATCAATTAATTTCTTCATCACTGAAATGCTTTGATGGATCTACCTGCAAATATTTAACACTTGTTAATTAGTGATTCAACATGATATGACAGGGGCACCGATGTGAGCATTGAGAACATGCATCAAGGTTACACTCACATCTTTGAGGCTACCTTTGAAAGTACAGAGGGAATCGCAGAGTACATAGTTCATCCAGCTCATGTTGATTTTGTCGGCATCTTCGTGCTTGCTTTGGAGAAAGTCATTGTGTTTGACTACAAGCCTATTGTTTCTCACTTCTAAACAGTTGGAGTTATAGGCATCTAACATTCTGCTGCTGTGTTCTCCCAGTGGGAGAGTTTGGTGCAGATTTTCTGGTATTGTTAAATCTGAATTCGATAATATTAGGTGGTGTTGAACCTTTTTGCATTATGTCATGTGTAATTCTTAATTTGTTGAGATCTGCAATTTTTTCTATTGGGTTTCAACTTCTTAAAGTGTTGCTCACCATGTTTGAACTTTGAACCATTGATGTTGTATGCATGACGGTTGCTTATTGCCATAGAATCTTTTAATGCCTGTTTTTAACACACTCCCATCCAAGCTGATGACCAAATCTAGTAAAGCTGGTTAAACAAAACAAGCAGTTGGATATATATAGCCTAGCCTTGTAGTTTCTTCAAATACAGCTAATGAAACCCTAGAAAGCCCCCACCATAAATATGCCAAGAGAACACGGCGAAATTGTCCAAATTTCTCCTCAAATTTTAAGTTAATTTAGAATTAGTTTCTCGACCTCTAATTTTAGGTTGGATCTCTCACTAATTATTTTTCATTTGAAATTGAGTTATTCTATTAAATTTTCATCAATTTTAACAGAGAAAGTATGTTCAACTTGCATTTAGTTGACTTTTTAACTTTTCTAAAAATCAAAATGTGTCAAAAACTTATGGATATTTTTTTTCCCGAGTTTTTTTTTTAAAAAAATATGATACTTTTAAATCTTTATTACTAAAAGAGGATATTTTTAAATTTATTTATCAAAATGGGTATTTAATAAAACATAGACATACATGTCATCAAATAGTTTAACCTCGTTTTTTCACATCTCGCTTCAAGTTTTCCAAGTAAAGCTCTTTCACGGACTTTGTTTCTCTCCTAATGAATGTAAAGAATACTGTAACCATCTTTTCCTTTAGATGGTGATGAAGTAAAGACTTAAAGATCTTTTCTTTCCTATGCCTTTACTTCTAATTTGATTCATGTATTAAGAAAAACATCACGTCTCTTTGTGCATATCTCCATGATTTTTTATCACCAAATCCATTTCTTGCATTTGATGTTCGATTGAAACCGGACCGGTATGTGAAAGAAACTAGTTAAGAAGCAAGAAGAGGATAGTTGTGATTATTACAAGAAATCCAACATGAAGTACAAAAGAAGAGTCACTAGAAGAGAAAATTAAGCCAAGCATCACGAGTAAGACATAAAACTTGATTTTAACGCGTTCCATGTTGGATCGATTTTTTTTTAAGACTAGAAGAGACAACAATAAATTTCCACTCAAGTTTTTACAAGCCGATTACCATTGAATGAATAAAATACAAATTTCATTTAGGTTACACAAGCATGTACTTGGAACTAATATTTTATAGTTCGAGAAGAAAAACAAATTACATGATCTTGTAGGCTAGGTTGCTTGAGCTGATATAATAGTTCCAACAATCACTCTAAACAACCCGAGTGCACTATCTAAAGATCTTAATCACAAGAATCTTCATAAAAAGAGATGAGTTTTAGGCATCGGACAGAGCACAGTACTGCTTCCAATTATACCCATGCACAATCCACAAAGAAGGTTTGGAAAGCCCACAATGATCACGAGAGGCAAAAATTGCATATCTAGCTCTAAGAGACTCGGGGGCATATATCTCGAGTTATATTTTGTTGTATGGCTGAAGCGGATTCAACTTCGTGCCTCGATGGATTATATAATGTATCGAACCAAGTTATAGGAAGATGATTTCTTAAACGAGCATTGGGATGCGAAGTAGTTTCATTCTTGTACTTATTGCTAACGAAGACGTGAGAGAATACCATACCATTATCGCTTTTATTCATGCCTCATGTGAACAAGAGGCTATTCTTTGTCCCCATACCATTGTTCTCATTTGTTTTTCCGAATCCGGACGATGGAGGTTATGCCGTTTTGCTAGCATTCCAAGTAGAAGTTTACCAACTAACAATAAAGGATCATGAAAATCATGCTTTTTGGAAAGCATTAAAATCGATGGTAATTGGTTATGGAATCAAGAAGTTATAAATCATTCTTAACATGCTTAACATTGAAGAAGAAGGTCAATTGATTATGGTAAGAAAAAAGTGACGGGGATGAAAATATTTTATATGGCAAAAAATTATCTAGTTTGAGAATTAAGTTTAAAACTACGCTATTTAAAGAATAAAGATTTAAAAATATCCTAGTTTGGTAAAAAAAAAAAATCTTGTTTTTTCGTATAAAACTTGTTTTCGTCTTTCTATAATGTGCTTTAATTGCTTACTTCTTAGCATTTATGAGGAAATAAACAAATTTTAAAAGAAAAAAATAAGTACATATAAGTTACATGTTTTTAGTTATTACGAAATTGCTCTTATTCGCTGGAATTGATAAAAACCTAACCGTTGGATATTAAACTTGAACAAATCTGAACATATTCAAAATTTATTATCGGTGCATGTATGATGTATCTAGCCATGCATGAATCTAACTATTCATGAATTATTTAGTTTCATGTATCTAGAAGTGTGCGATTCACATAAATTGAAATTCATGTTTAATTAGGGGTATGAACTTATGTAGTAAGAAGTCCTATAAATAGCTCATGTATTCTTGCGTTCAAGTTAAGCTAAGTAGAGTTAGTTTCGAAACATAAGTCCTTTTCTTCTAAAATTCCCTTCTCCTTTCTACTTGGTGCATTTGAGTGAGTGCCCACCTCTTTCCAACAAAGTGGTATAAGAGTCTGGATGAATTCCAAAGGAGCCTTACTTTCTTTCCAATATCCACGCCTCACCAAACTCAACTATAAGAATTAGGCACTTAGAATGAAGGCTATACTTGGTTCCTAAGGAGTTTGGGAAATTGTTGATAAGGTTTTATAGGACTCGAAGATCGAGTGCTCCTACTCCAAATGAGAAGGAAGTTTTAGAGAAGGAACAAAAGAAAGATCAATATGCCTCATTATCATCCATCAAGGCTTGGATGATGATATGTTTGAGAAGATTGCAAATGAGACGACCTCCAAACAAGCGTAGGAGACGCTTCATAACTCGTCATGGAAATTGAGAAAGTGAAGAAAGTTAGACTTCAAACTCAAAGTGGTCGAGTTTGAATCACTTTTCATGAAGGAAAGTGAATCAATTCAAGACTAGTTTACAATAATCTTAGTAGTGGTGAACCAAATGAAGCGAGTTTGGAGAGACTTTATCGGATGTTCATATAGTTGAAAAAATTCTTCGTTCTCTCAACACAAAATTTGACCATGTGGTGGCGAGGAGTCTAAAGACTTGGAGGCCACGTCCATTGATGAGTTAAATGGATCATTACAAACCTATAAGGAAAGGATGAAACATGGCAAGTAAGAGTAAACGGAGCAAGTCTTGCAAGCAAAGATGACTTTTAAAGGTGATGCCTCCAGTAGAGGTCATGGTTAAGGACGAGGAAGAGGTCGAGGTTAAGGAGAGGCCGTGGTCGAGGAAAAGGACAAGATGAGGATTCTTCACCATTTAATAAAAGAGGATAATCTTTTATGAGGGGCTATGGGCAAGGAAGAGGAAAATACAACTATGACAAGCATGACAAATCCTAAGTTGAATGTTACTCTTGTAATAAGCTTGGTCACTATTCTTAGGAATGTCAATCTAAGAAGGTTTGTGAGGAGGTCAAATTTGTAGAGATAATATGGAGGAATCCTTACTCCTAGCTTTAAAGTATAACTCCATGGATAAGACGAGTATTTGGTATTTTGACAATGGTACTGGCAACCATATGACGGGTGATTGAAGCAAATTTATGGAGCTTCATACAAGCAAAAAAGGCGTTGTGAGCTTCGGTGACAACATAAAGGTGGAGATTAAAAGCAAAGGTAAAATTTTGCTTGAGACAAAAAATGGAGGTCACAAAGTTCTTTGTAATGTTTATTAGATTCTAAAGTTGACTAAATATTCTAAGTATTGGTCAAATTTTGAAAAGAGGATATAAGGTTCACATGAAGGATTGTGTGCTTTGGCTTAGAGACCAAGATTCTAATCTTGTTGTTAAGGTGACAATGACAAAGAATTGAATGTTCTTGTAAACTTGAAGAATGGTGGTACCATGTGCTTGAAGACTTATGTTAATGGTTTATCATGGATTTAGCATATGCGGTTTGGTCATTTGAACTTTAGAGGACTTAAAGCCTTGGGAGAAAAGATGGTGAAAGGTATTCGGTGATTGATCACCCCGATAAACCGTGTGAAACATGTTTACTTGGCAAACATTCAAGAAAGAGCTTCTCGAAGCAATCCATTTCAATGGCCACCAAGCCACTCTAGCTCATTCATGTCGATGCTTGTGGCCCTATCAAGCCTCAATCTCTCGATAAAAGCTCTTGCTTTGTGCTTTTCATTGATGATTATAGTAAAAAAAACTTAGGTTTATTTTTTGAAACAAAAATATGATGCATTTAAGAAGTTTAAAGCTTCTATTGAAAAGGAGAGTGGATATGAGATTAAAGCTTTCGAAGTGATAGGGGTAGTGAGTTTACATCGAACTAATTTAAGATTTTTTGTGAGTTGCATGGTATTAGGCATCCCTTGACAGTTCCTAAATCATCCCAACAAAATATAGTCATTGAAAAAAAGAATCGGACAATTCTCAACATGGAAAAGAGTGTTAAAGTCAAAGAGCATAACAAAGGAGTTTTGGGTTGAAGCTATTACATGTGTTGTCTATCTTTCAAACCATAGTCCAACCAAGAACTCCGAAGAATGTGATGCCTCGAAGCATGGAGTGGATGGAAACCAAGTGTTACATATTTGAGAGTTTTTGGATCCATTGCTTATGTCCATGTTCCCGTGCAAGAGAGATCCAAACTTAATGATCGGAGTAGAAAGCTTACTCTCATTGGTTATGATGAGAATTCTAAAGGATACAAGTTGTTCAACCCGGAGAATGGAAAAATTATGATCGAGTAAAGATGTGAAATTTGACGAACATGTATCATGAGATTGGAGCTTTAAAGAGGAAGAATCCTATGATTTTCTTT